GATGTCACACAAGTGACCAAATGTGCATAAAATACACATGTAGGATTGGAAATCCCCCCCCCCCCCCCCCCCCCGCCAATCCTTAATGCTGTAAAAATGACTGCACATCTGTCTCATTTGGAATATGCACAATAGCTTATTCACACGCCAAGTAATGTTCATTTATACCTATGGGGAAAATCTGAATCAATATGGGAAAAGGACTTGACCTACATTTGTAAACCTGTGACTGTTGATCCACATGAACTCTCTGCATGGGATTTATGTCAACTTTTTTTTGTTGGTATCTGAAGACCCACAAACTTTGTTAGACCCTACTACACTGATTGCAGGGATCCCTCAAGAACCTGGATACCTTGTTAATGTCCATGATGCCTTTTCACCACAGATATTTCACAGCATTACTAGAATCCATGTTCCTCATTATGGATACCAACAATGCAAGGAGTAATAAGCTTCAAGGAAAGGCCTTTGTGAGTTAGAAAGTAATGTATGGACCGGATAACTTCAGATGGGTATTCTGGAACAGGGCATGAAATCAGGAGGAACCAAGCATCAACCAAAATTTTAAGGACAGTTTGCCAGAACCTCAGTTGGCATAAATCAACATCAAATAAGTATAACAGCTGAGGATCCACCACAATCTTTATTTGCCTCCATTAAATTTATTTTTCTCTTCCCAAGGAGAAAGCTGGTAAGCTACACTTCCTAAAAAGCCTGATGGCTTTATGTCTTCTAATAAGCAAAAACAAAAATAAAGTTTAGCGAGGAGGAAGGGGAAAAAAAACTCTATAATCAAAGCCAGTTCAAATCTACTAATGGATAAGTTCTCTAATTATTGGCAAACGTGTCCATACTTGATACAATCTCTAACTTATTGTTTCTCTTTCAATGATCATTTGTGATACACATTTCTTGACATAACAGGAATTTATTTTTCAACAGTAAATAAAAAAAGCCATCTATTTAGTTCACCTACAGGCTGTTTATTAGTCCCAATGCAGGTTTAAAATTATTAGATGCCTTATGATGTAAGCTCTTCAGAGGAGAAGTTGTCCATAATGAGATCTTGGTAAGCAGCTACCAATAGACACTACTGTAAACAAACAGTATAAATAACAAAAAACTTCCTGTCCTAGGAGTGACAGAATTTCCCTTTGTTCATTCAAGAATTTTAACTCATATTTTCTTGTTCCGCCCTGAAAGCGTTAGTATTAGGGATGCTAGGTAGCATGTAATTGAATAATCATGTAACCACATCAAACTTTAGTGGTTACATGACTATTTGATATTCCCCAGAGATGAGGGCCAGCAGCCGGCCCCACTTCTGGGTAGGGCCCTGCCACCCTGCAGGCAGCAGACAGGGTGCAGCAGGCGGGAGCTGGTCTGCAAGAGAAGCCGGTTTAAAAATCGATACAGAGGCAGCAGCGCAGGGTGGCAGCAGTCCCTGTCCACAGGGAGCTTACAACTGTAAGGAGTTGCTCTGATGAGCTTAAATGTTTTATCAGGCCAAAGTGGAATTTTTTCAACAGGGCTAGCTTCACAAAGTGACCAAAAGAGATGGTGCCAATGACAAATTTCCTATAACGTTTAGCACAGTGGTTAGATCATTCATCTCTAGGGTATGGAGTCCCAGATAGAGCAGAGATTTGAATACTGGTCTTCTGCATCTGAGGAGGATGCCCAAATCACCAAGCCATGGTATACTCTGGTTGTCTCTCTAAATTTCTCCTGTTGAAGCTGCCCCACTTTTTTCATCTGTCTGCTCTTGTAGCCTCCCTCTACACCAATAATTGCCTATAACAGTCCAAGACATCAAGGTAATACCAGGTGAAGTAAAATACCTACTTTTTCAAAGTATGCTTTTATAGCAGCCGGAATTGCCAGTTTTCAGTGATTTATTACCCCACAATCCAGCCTGACCACCATAAAATCTTTCAAAAAAAAAATAACCTTCAGCAAAGCCCCTATGATGTATGACAATCCTACAACCCTGTGGGCTGGTCTTACACTGAAAAGTTAGATTGACTCAGCTATGTTGGATGGGGGGGTGAGAAGTCCATCCCTGCAGAGACATAGGGTACGTCTAGACTACATGCCTCTGGCGACAGAGGCATGTAGATTAGGCTACCCGACAGAGTAAAATGAAGCGGCGATTTAAATAATCGCTGCTTCATTTAAATTTACACGGCTGCCGCGTTGAGCCGACAAACAGCTGATCAGCTGTTTGTCAGCTCAGCGCGATAGTCTGGACGCTCCCCTGCCGACATCAAAGGTATTTGTCGACCACTCAGGTATGCCTCATCCCAAAAGAAAACTTTGAAAAGAACAATCTGTAGGTATAAAATGAGACTGCAGGAAGAAACTCGCGCTGAGCCGACAAACAGCTGATCAGCTGTTTGTCGGCTCAACGCGGCAGCCATGTAAATTTAAATGAAGCGGCGATTATTTAAATCGCCGCTTCATTTTACTCTGTCGGGTAGCCTAATCTACATGCCTCTGTCGCCAGAGGCATGTAGTCTAGACGTACCCATAGTTAATCCAGCCCAACGCCTGCTATAGACAGCACTTGTTCTGTTGACCTAGCTGCTATTTCTTGGGGAGGTGGATTAACTATAGCCACAGGAAAACTACAGTGCATAGTGCGTGTCTACACTGAGGCACTGGAGTGGCACAGTTGTGCTGCCATAACATTTTAAAGGTAGATATAGCCTGCGATTCTGGAAAATTATTTTTCAGGATTATTTTTACAACGGCGGCAATTACAGTCAGTCCTAATTTGTTACCTATTAGCATTTTGGTAGTCACACACACAACATGCTGCTAAACCACAGTAAATCCCATCAATTTAATTCAAATCACAAATGAAGTTAGTAAATGGCAAATGTGCTTTTTTCAAAAGTCATGTAAACTCAGTTTTTACAGATTAGAAAAATAGTTAGGCCAAGAAGTAACAAAAAAGCTCAAGTCAGATTCAGAGGAAAATCATCTAAACTTCAATCATATCTAATGTTCTGTTAGCAAGTTTGTCCTGTGATCCTTTTGAGTTTCTTGTTCACTCAGCAAGCAGATCTGATAGTAAACATCAAACTGGAAAGGCTGCTTTTGAAAATCCCAACTCTGCCAATATAAGTCTTTTAAGTCAGGTTCAAAGTCTTTTTTTAAAGATAAGATAGAACACTACACCTGAGTGTTTATGGGATTCAAATGGATAGATATGCAACTCTTTGCTGCCATATATTGTGGCCACTATCCACATTTTTCTTCTCCCCATCTCCCTGGTATTACAAAAGCAACATTATCAGGAACAGAGCTAAAGCAGATTAACCCAGTTTGATTGGGTTAATTAAACGGACAGGTGGAACGGCTTTTACATGTTTCTATATTACACAAATTAAATGAAGAACCCATTTTTCAATTTCGTGCTCTCTGCATCGAGCTTGAAATGTCGTCCTATCTGATGAATGATACCTCTTCCTGAAGGATATCAATTTCAATGTGTGTTTCGTATATGGATTGTATATCCCAGGAGATCACTAGGATTCCCCTCCCCACACTCAATTAATGGCTAACTAATTCACAGTAAGCTTAAAATGATAGCAAAGGAGTTACATTTAATTACTGTTGTATCATGAAAAACACAATCCATAACCACTACAGCAAAACATGTAGGGACTCAGTTGTGCAACCTAAGAAGCCTTATATGTTCTGCTGAAAATTGTTATAAAATATGCTTCCTGGCATCATAAACTTCAATGGGAGCTGTGTGCCCACATCCAAGAGTACAATTTCACTTGGGAGCATTTAAAGTAATACTTTTGAAGTTTAACTCTACAAGCCATTGTTCATGAAGATAGAAACCATCTACCAGGACAGACTCCCTTTAAATGTAAGTAATCACTCAGCAGACAAGATTTAAGCTACAGTTCCTTGAATGACACTCTGTTCAGTTTCTAGCTAATGCTTGTAAAAGTTTTATGAGATGAATGCTAGTTCTTATCAGAGAAGTATCTGCAAGCACAATGGAAAGTCTGAGGTTGTCTGGCACAACTTAATTTCTCTCCTAAGTAAATAAAAGCAGCTTAGGCCACCTGAAGTTACAGTGGAGATACATTAAGAACTGGCTGTCATTCTGCTGTGACACTGACCACAATGCAAAAAAGTAAAGGAAAAATGTACCTGGGCTAACACACCCAAACCCATGCTATGAATACAGAATAGATCCTGGCATCACACATTTGTTAATGAAGGAAAAACTGTTTGTCTAGCATGTTGAAATGTAACTGAATGATTGGACACAACAAATACATTTTAATTTTCATCCAGCTAACACAGAGAGAAATTGTCCATGTTGCTGAAGAGCTGGATTTATTCTAGCCTGAGGAGTATAGGAGTAAGGATGTCTCTGGCAAATCTCTGTCTTTTAAATTGCAATTTAGACCATGAATTGAAAAATAATTTGGTTTCGGAGTACCTGTCATAACTGACATTGCTCAAACAGCGTAACAAAATGCTAACCAGGATAGCATGGCATTGCCATGAGTGTGTGGACAAGAGAAGTAGTCAATTTGCATCCAGCAATCTCTCTCACATAGTCCGGGGCACCAGTACTTGTGTGACTTAGTGAGGGAATGCTGGGAAGAACTACCCCCTACTCATTTCTATTTGGAATTTAAGATTTTTCACTTCCATATGGGCTCCAAGGACAGCTCTTAAAGCAGCACCATCTCTGCAAGGCAATGTAAACACAAAGTACAAGTCAACATCTTGAAATGGTAGCATCAAGTCTACAAATAAGAGTACCGTTCCACTATAAATTACTAAGCAATGCAAAAGAGATGACCAGTAAGCTGAAATCTTATCATTAGAGGGTCATTTTCAAAACAGGAACAGGCATTTCATGTACAAACACGAATGCTAACCATACACGGGCAGTTGTACTTTCTTTTGAAGAATCTATGCAGGTTTTATTAGGAATATTGGATTATGCTCGGTCTTACCTTCACAAATTCTGTCCAATCGCTGTCGTTTGACTTTGTGTTTATCCACAAGTGCCATTCTTTACTGTATTTTGTAACTTTCTGATTCAAAAAGCAAAGCAGTCCTCCAAGAAGTCAGGAAAATTCACAGGAGTCTGAGTGCATAACGCCACAATAAACCCTGAAACAAGGAAAAAGAATCCTTTCATTTAGGGCTCTTGGTGCAAATGATGACAACGGTGTATGCTTGACATTCCTGTGGCCTTTCTGAAGTGAAAGTTACAAACCAAACACTTTCTAGCCATGTCCCAAATAGTCACAGATTTTATGCTGCAAATCAAGTTTAATCTTCCTTGCAATAAGAAAGAGCAACATTGTACGACAGCAGGGCAGTAGCTGTTAAAGTGTTTTTTTGTGCTTTCTATGTTTTATTTCAGCCTTAGAAACCTATTTCTAGCAGATAAAATCCATTAAACTGCATTCACAGGCTCTGAAAGATTAGAGACAGAGCAAAAGAAAAGTTACTTTTGCTCTTTTGATATCTCCCTGAACACATGCACTTTGGATATCAAGTCTTAATTCAACTCATATCCAGTAAAATACTTGTCACTGGAGCTAGAATTTTGGACTCCTGAACCTTCCAGCTCTTCATCTCTACAGAAATTTTTATATGTTGCCCACAATTTTTTATGCACAGCCCATCCATAACCATAGTTTGTTCTCGTTGTCACACTGAAAAGATTATTATTACACATTTGATTCTGGACATGACATTTCCAACAAGCACACACTTTAAAGGCTGCCACATATCGCCATCTCATTAAATAAAGCAATCTAGTAATTGCCAGGTATGGTTAATTTATAGAAAGTGTCTATAAAGGGATAAGGTCCCAAGTCTTTTCCACAAGAATTAACAAAACAGGCAAACACATGCATATTATTCATCAGTTTTATTTTAAACAGGTCACAAGTTTTGTTTAGTTCTTGAATACAAATATCTGAGCAGTCTTCACTTACACACAGACTTGAAGTGCCATTCCAGCACTTTAATCATAATCCTTTGGACATGAGTTTGCTTTTTAGAGCAATCACCATCTAAATGTGAAATGAATTGACATCTGATTTCCAGCAACTGCCAACCATAGGCATTAACATTTTACTAAGTAAAGCTATACTCCTAGTAATTCAGTGTTAACGCATCCCCTTTCAGATACTAAGGGGGAAGGTAGAGGAACATGACCTAGATTTTGATACGGTATCCTTGACTTGCATTAGGCTAACCTACTTGGTCCTCCAGTCATCAGCACAAGCTGGTGGTGTTTTACTGTTCATGTTTTGAAGTAAAGAAAAGGATTTTGTGGCAGCACTAGGAACAGGGTGAAATGAAGGAAGAGAAAGGGCAGGGAAAATTGCTTTTGTATGTACATAGGATAGAAGGACTAATAAGTTCTTGGTTTAGATTCCATTAAAATCCACCCATCACACACTAGATCAGGGCTACTTGTTGGAAGTCCCGGGGGCCACAATGATACTTAACAGCACATGCCGAGGGCCGCAACTTAAGTGTGGTTGCGTATACATTCAAATATATATGCAAATAGCTTCTTTCACACTAATGGGCATGAATACAAAGATTAAGAAAAGACTACACAACACACAGGCTCCATTTAAGTCAGTTCTGCTGCTATTAAAATGCAATATTTACCTAATTTCCACCCATATGACAGCAGTTTTAATGAGCAATGACAGTCCAGGAATTTAACTACTAAAATGCATATCAACAGAAGACCATTATATTGCCTACTTTTTTGTTTTGGCTCCCACTTGTGGGCCGCAAACTAACCGGGTCACGGGCCGCATGCGGCTGACGGGCCACATGTTGAGTAGCCCTGCACTAGATTGTGAGTTACTATAAAGACACAAGTCTAATCGAAAGATTCTATGTACTTTAAGATTGTGAGTTACTATAAAAACACAAGTCTAATCGAAAGATTCTATGTACTTTAAGAAATCTGGCTCAAGAGTTAAAGATGCAAGGCCACATAGAAAACACCCAAAGACGCAAGTGGGTATACCCCATCTAATCACAGTAGCTCACAACAGCACACTGGTGTAGACATTGGAGATATCTTTTGGAACATCCCCTTCAGGTTTCCATGAATTCTTAGTGAGTTAAACACACCTCTCTACTTTTCTGCTGCATGTCCTGGCTATATTACACAAGGAGTTGCAGGACACTTCTCTGAATCTCAAAAAAAAGACAGTAAGTAGAGAGAAAGGGTAGCAAAGCTGCACACTGATTTAATGCCACATAGTGGTAGCAAAAGGCTACGACAGCAAGGAACTCTTGCTCAGAGAGCAATCAGTATGGATGGAGCTTCCAAGTTTCAGTTTTTTGAGACTCAATTAAAGAAAAGAACCATAAAGGGTTAAAATGGTCAAACCAAAAAAGTAGAGATAATCTCAAATTGTACACCATTCATTCAAGGTTACTACAGTAAGTCCTATGGAAAACTCTCTATTCCATTTCTGGTAGTGTTTCAAACTGGATGTGAAATACGTAAAATTCAACATAATAGATAAAATTATAAGTAACTCCACCTCATGATACAAAATGACAAGGACCATGGTTAACTTAGGGGTCTGGGAATTAGAAAACTTAGGTACGATGCCAAGAAACTGATCTTGAGCAATACACGTAACCTTTCTGTGCATGCTTCCCCTTCTGTGAAAAGGGGTAACAATACTTACCCACCTTTGAAAAGCCCTTTGAGATTGTCATATAAATGGCATTAACTCCTAAGCATTGTCATGAAACTTGAATATTTCCCCTTCATTTCCAACAACTAATTTTATGCACCCCCATTTCTCCCAAAAAAGGTCAGAGCAGGAACAATCTCCAAGAAAGCACAGGCTATTAATAGTTAACGAATGCAGTAAGCTAGAGTGAAAATGGGGAGGGGTTGAAGGCTCTAACAAATTTGCTGCATACCAAGATGACAATTTCATGGCGATTATTGTTATTATTATAAATGGTTATCAATTATGCATCACATTGATAGCTAATTTATAAAAAGAATAGGGTTGTGTTGGTACAACTGAATTCTGACTGATGGAAAATAGGCGATTTCCTGGTAGTTAATGGCCAATTTCCCAGCAATATGACTACAGTATAATCTCAGAGATTTATAGCAATAATTAATTGATTTTTTAAAATGTAAGGGATGCTACGGCGCACGATTCCCACTCACATTAATAATTAATGCAACATTCTAAAGTACCAAAACTTCCATTCCAGACACAGAAGCTTCCTAAAGACAAGAGCTTGTTATATTAAAAAATCAACTGAGTGTTAATGTAGATAAAGCCATACAAAAGAGATAGCATTTCCATTATCAGCATTTAAAAGATATGCAAGTCTTTTAATTTAATTAAATTCCACCCCACTCCCAGGGAGAGTTGGCTGGGCAGCAGGTCCAAGTAGAGAGTCTCTTTGGAGTTGGGTTCTTCCTGCACTGAGAGCAAGGCAGAAGAGGGTTAATTGTGGATCTCATGAGAGTTATGTATTGCGAGCAGGATCACGTGGGAGGTTCGCTATTATCCACAAACAGTAACTGCAGATTTAAGGATCTCATTGCTCAAAAATTGCCCCCAGCAGCCTTTTTCCCTTTCAGATCAGCAACATTTTCTCTTATGTTGCAAGAATAAAAGTTATTCCTTTGCACTCCCTGTTCTTCAACAGAAGACTTCCCAAGCAGTAGCCCCAGACTGCATACACCTTGTGGGATGGCTAAGTTAATGGTTCAGATCCCAAGTTCACATAATACTATTGCGACAAGATCTACGAGACCAGTCATTCGCTCACATTTTTTGCTTCTATACTTCCACAGATGGCAATATCATGCCCCTTCTTGTTCCTGCCTATTCAGGACTGCCCCTTTGATTGCATCCCATATGGACCATCATGGACAGCAATTTCAGGGCTGCTTTTTGAGGATTTGTTTTAAAATGTATGGTTTTATATTTATGTTTAATCAAGTGTATTTAATCTGTCAAGACTCCTAATGAATTTTAGGTTATTTATAAAAGATTCCAATTAACATAGTTACTACTTGGTAGTGACAGTTTCATGGAGCTAAACACTTTCACTGTGGTTGTATTTATGTTTCTTCTGATAAAGTTTATAGTGTAACGAGTGCAATCAAAACAGGCCCCGGGGCTTCCTTTACTCTCATTACCAAGACTCCACTTTTACATGCTCTATAATAAAACAAATCCTGACAATAAAAGTTCTCATTTACAATGGCTTCACTATTCATATGGTCAAATCTCCATTTATAAGTCTTTGCTCATTCCAGCTGCGTTGCACGTGACAATAATATTTTTCAGACTATAAACTGCACAAGAAATGCCTGTGTGAACATATGAAGAAAACTTTGTTACCTATACGTTACCATTGCCAGTTAGAATCTAAAGTTATATATTTGTATATTGGAGAACCCTGCAACAAGTGTATGTCAAATACAGTTTACAAGCCCTCGCACATCACTATCTACCAACTAAATTCAGTCCACCTACCCAGCCAAATATCTTCCATGGCATTGTCCCATTATCTTGCTTCTTCCCCTTGATTTACAAACCAAAATCTCCAGTCTTTTCCACCCTTCTTTCCAACTGTAGCCAGGAAAGGACATACACATCATAGTTCAATCTCCAGAAACAATATAGGTTCCCTCATTCATTATTGAACTGTATGGAGAATGCAAGTTCCATTTTGTGGAAGATATCGGGATTTCAAAATTTGGTTTCATTCTGATTAGGAACCCCCAACATTTCAAAATTCTCTGCAAAAGAATCACCCTCCCCAATTTGTTTCAAGACAATCACAATATTTCATTCTGAGAAAAATGTTTTGACTTTTTAAAATATTATATTTGGAATTTCAAAATGAAAATTTTGAAAGGAAAAGTGGAAGCTTTTCATCATTCCAAAAGTATCAACATGGGAATTTCAACCTGGGACTTTATTTTTCCCTCTAAACAAAATGTTGGTGAAATCAACATGATTTTGCAAAATGTTTTGTTTTGACTAAACTGCATTTTCTGATCTGCATTCTCTGCCCAGCTTTATTCACTCTATCGTTCCCTGGAGCATAGCTTTCTGCAAAGGAAAATAATGATA